CTTTGTTATTTTTCATACTTAATTTTTCAATTCAATTTTTTTCTCAAAAAGTATTTGAGGTATCAACCTGAAACTTCATAGGTGGATAGATTTTACTGAGGAGGTTTGCAGCACACAAGAATGATAACCTACCTGCATTATTTTTCAGTTATTGCCCTTTGTTATTTTCAGCCATCAGTATTCACATAGGTTTCAAATCTGTAATCACTATAGCCATCAGTTTTCATTACCAAAAGTCCTCTTAAAATGGAATTATTCTGCTGTACTATATATACATTCTTCCAATGAGCAAACACATTCGGCGGGGGATGGCCATGTTGACATGGCTCTTGTTATGCAGGAAATCCTAAAAAACGGCACTGTTACATGTGCCATTTCTAAAATACACATGTATGAGGTAATGGTTATATTACTTTGAAAGCAAATGACATCGTGTAAATAACTACAGTACAAAGATCTTATTGATTTAATTGTAATGACAACGAGAAGACACGAAAATGGCGTGCCATAAGCAAGAATTCGAAATCCAGCTCTTGGATCAAAGTCACTCTTGTACACACAAAACCATGATAGAAGCCACTTTTTGTGAAAGGAAATTGATGTTTGTGGCCAATCAATAATTCTGTTATTCCTGGATGGATTTTAAAATACATATTTTGCCATAAATATGTTGGACATGACGACGTTGTGTTGTATGTAAAAGCAAGGGTTGCGTTTCATAGAAAGTCCTTAGTCTAAAATATACTATAAGACCAAAACCGAGATAATTTTTGTATCAAAGACAATGTCTCAACTTATGACTCTTATGTTAAGACTTCAATTTTGGAATAACGATGCAGATGAACATTATATTACGGATTGAAGGGTGTAACTTCACTCATTAAAAGTCTAAAACTTACTAAAGATGAAAATGGTCCTAAGTCAGTCCTATAGTTTGTCATAATTCCTATGACTTAGGATACACTCAGAACTTTCTATGAAACGCAGCCCAGGTTTCTAGTTCAAAGGTCAAGGTCGCAGTTTTACGTCAGTCTTATGATTGTGAATACATGTCGATTGTCGTGTTCAGTACATTTGTCATTCATGGATGGAATTTTTGAAATAGTTATGTATAACGTGCACATTGTACTGATGTGTCTCAAAGCAAACGCAGGGCTTGTATTTCTAAACCGTGGTCACTCTTATTTATCTTCACTTCACATGCACTTAAGTACATTAATTTGTTTGTTTTCGGTTAACAACCTAGTCGTTCATGGAATGATTTTACTTGCTGTGTTACACGTGACGGCCTTCATCTTTAATTTCAAGGTCACATTGTATGTCAGAAGTCGTGATTGCGAATGAATGGCTGTGTTTAGTGCTTGGTTTTTGTGAGAAGAAACGCGTATAGGGGTCACTTCTCCATCATCTGTCCGCCCATAACAAAACTTGTTCGGACTACTCAAATAACTACTGGTCCAATTTCATCTAAACTTTACAGGAATGAATAGTACCAAGTCTAGAACTTTATGCATTTCGTGAGCATTTTTTAGTTCAATGATTTTTGTCAAGAATTATGGTCATTTAATAATTTTTATCTTTAAATAAGAAAAAAGTGTCCTTACTACGTATCTTGCAATTTGATTAAAATGTTACAGGACTGATCGGTACCTCAAATAATTTTTGCATGTTTAACTAGGTTTGTTTTGGTTGAATATTTTTTTTGCTGAGTTATGGCCCTTTAGTCAAGAAAGCGTTTTGGCCCGTAAATGAAGTTTGCTATACAGTAGCTATGATATGCTTCAAAATAGCCACGACAAATAGAAATCAAATCCTCAAAACAACTGCTTAATTGGCTTCATTAGGTCACACATGTGATCACTGATCGCACTTGTTTTATGTCAAGGATAAGTTTTTGAAATAGTTATCTATATGTGGCCTACTTAGAGGACATGTAGTGAATAAGAGCCAGGCTAGCAATCTATAGGTCAAGGTTACACTTAAATGTAAAAAAGTTATGAGGATCATTTCTTTTGTCTTTCGTCAGTAGATTTTGAAATAACTAAGCAAAAATTTATGGTACAGTGAGAAGACTTGTCAGGCACAAATGCCAGGAGATGTTTTTACTTTCTTGTTCTTTTTATAGTAACAATGCTTTTAATTGTTGTGAGTCAGAGGTCGATCATGGCCCTTCACTGCGCCCCGCTTCCTGGTAATTAGTTGACTATGCGAAATACCTTATAGAAAGAATCTTGTTGAATTTTATATTCATCCGAAAGTAAAGGATAAGTTCAGCTGCACGGCGGAAATGATGGTACATGTACTTATTAGTTATTATTCTTAAAATATGTCATTATGCTATCAAAGTTGAAGTAATGAATGAAAGTAAATTTGTGGTATAACCCCTGTGATCAGCTTGCTACTATCAGTAAGTGAGCATATTGTCATTGATAGTAATATATTAACCACTGAAATTACTGAGAAACCGAATATAAAACAACAGAACAACAACATCATTGAGTTTATATACGTCAGTGAGTTGTAATATCAGGTCAACATTATTAATTTGCAAAATTTCAGCAGATTTAGCAAGTGTATCAAAGTTGAGGTGCGACAGCAGTCAATGTAAAGGAGGTGGTCCTACAAAGAAGGCAGGGACGACGAGTAAGGGTACTAGGTTGCGTGATATGCAGGTCGATTGCTTGGCAAAACAGCCCATATCAAGGAAACCTTACCATGCCATTATTGTTCAGGTTCTAATTGACCGCTGTTCAGTAACTTACTTGCACTTACAAGTTCATCTCATTGGCTTATACTATGCGAAATTGCACGGGATTATTAAGGGAGTGACTGATGATATATCCGGGGGTATGTAATCTATAAAGAATGCTACTTTGAAAAGAGCAAAGATGAGGAAGAGAAGGCAATCTGAAATGTTCTAATTAAGGCTGATTTAATACAGGGCATCACATTTGCCTGCAATAACCAATATTTATCCCAATACTTTTTACTATTTTATCTTGCATTGCATAAACAATTTGCTTTAGTAGTACGGTTAATAGGTTTGAGGTAAATACTTGTTTTTACATTTCACCGATTCAGTGTAGCGAAGCAAAGGGGGACCACTGCGTAAGAGTTTGCTAAACAGGATGTGCTCCTTTCCAGCGTAGTGGTCTCCCTTTCATTAACTATCTCGAGATATGTAATATCAAACTTATTAATTAAAGCTTCATTTAGCTGCAATGCGTTGAATATTTGTTTATATTCCGATAAAAATCACATTAGTTAGTACTAAAACCTAAATGAAATACTGTTTGTATACTTCCAATTGAACGACTGGGCCTTGTAAGCATACAATCATTCTTAAAATAACGGTTAAAAGTTGTACATTTTGTTAGGAAATGTTTTATACTGCTTTATTGTACACTTGTAACGAGTTTAGAAATAAAAACAAAATTTTTATTTGCTAAATGTTTCCCGGATATGTCCTTACGAACATTAAAACAAGTGATTTTGACGTTTTGTTTGTTTGTTTTCTATTCTTTATTTATGCACTAAAATCACTGTTTTCCGAACAATTTATTTCTGAACAAAAACAAAATGTCTATTTGATTAAATTTTAAATTAAGTTCCATTATCTTATAGTCGTTTCTTAAAATATTTGTAACATAGAAAACATAGAATATCTGTGTTATTAAATATATACATGAATGGTGTACGCAAACGGAATAAAATGTTCCTGAACAAAATATCATGCCATGTTTAGAATATTGGTGATGATTTCACGCATGCACAACTTACTTTCAATAACACATACCGACAGATTTCTTCCATTGTAGTTATTGTGTAATCATAATATGAAAAAAGGGATATTTTTAAGATATTTTTATAATCATAAAACAGTAAATATAAAGCTTTATACACTTTTCAAGCCACGAGGACAAGTACACATCGAGACGAAATGTGAACTTATATAATCAATAACTATAGTAAAGTAAAAGGTTTGTAAAACTTACTAGTTCTGAAAACTATTATTATATGTATTACTTATGAATATAAGATTATATTAATTAAGTATGAAAATAAGCTACTCCTAAAGGCAAAATCAAGTGGGAGCATAAGTGTCCCCCAAGTTATATAATGGATTTGCATTGCTTTGAATTCGGAACAGTGCAGTCATCTGTTATTCTATGGTGATGGTTTTTGTAGTTTACCCTCGATCCGTATCACTGCAGAAAGCCACTTTGAATTTACAATAGTACAGTAAAGCCACTTCATCGTTCCTCGGCAAGCTGTCAAGAAGTACTAGCTAGCTGCCTTTACTTTCGAGTTAGATACCAGAATAAAGGTACAGTGCGAATGACCGTTAAAAGGATTTCATGATCAGTCACAACGAATGCGAATGACCGGCACCACCAGGGAATTCAACACGGGAACTAACCGGACTGTGCACTGTTTGTTGATTGGTTTGTTTTGGTTTTATGACGCACCTACACAATTAAGGTCATATGGCGCCGAAATAGAAAATATCTTTTTAGCTAGCCTCGGGTGTTAAAAACTTGAGGTCAAAGCCACCTCAACTGCTTAATTAAGCTAAGATATGCATAGACTTTATTAGTTCGAACCCATTTAGTCGCCACTTACGATCACGCATGGTTAAAGGTGGCTGCAATTCTGATGTCCCAATCCTTAAAGGCAACCCCTCAGCCACAAGGGGAACTGTGCACTATTATCTTTGGTGTTTCGATCTCATTGTAATATGATTGATAAAGCTAACAACATAAATACTGTGGCATACGAGTGTGCAGTCTTGCCTGTCTGGCCTAACCCATCATTGATGCCTTATGTTATTTTTTGTCGGGCCAGCATTCAAAGGGCCAAACAGGATCAGGAAGTCTCAGTGATCACTCGGAACACATCGCCGATTAGACACAATCCTTATCCGAAGTCTTACGAAAAGGGCCGGGAAGTTGCAATTGTGCTCACAAAGGAAAGGTTGTAGATAAAAAACACAGAAAAAATGTTTTAAACATTATACACTCTATATTTCTCTTCTAATATACAGCTCAATTTAAACATACACATGATTTGGTGTTTAATTTCATTTACAATTTCTTATATCTATAAAAGAAATGTAGAATATATCATTTTATTTAATCTTATTTTACCAACAACAATAACAACACCTTATCAGTTCAAGTACTGTGTATTTATTGTGTTAATATCATTTTTTTCAATTGTAGTTACACATTTTTTTTAAGCCGAGGCAATTAAATTGATTTCATTGGCGGCGTATATCTTTATTTCATGAAAACTTTTTTTTAACAAATAGTTCATATCTTGACCAATTTTGTATATAAATATGTATATGTTTATTGCAACGGTTTATTTAGTTAAAAAGAGTAAATTAAATATGAAGAACATGTACATAATAGTAATGACAATCACTGACAAAATAACGATTTAATAAAAAACAAAATTGCCCTATTAATAAACCAAAACATCCGACTTGTAAATTGTGTAATGACCTGGCACAGTAAACCCTTATATTTCAGGATTACGGAGACCCTTATGAGAATGTATGAAAATTGCCATAACTAATGTCGTTACCATTGAAGACAAAAATTTACATAAAAAAGGTACGTGGAAACTGTTGAATGTAGCCGAGAGGCATCTCGGATTTATGACGATGCTATCCGACATCGAACGTTGTTTACCGATTCATTTGGGTCGTAAATACTTTTAGTAATAAAACTGCATTGGTGTGCCTGTTATCGGTACAATTGTTACGGAAAGTGTCGACTGAAGGCGGTTATTACGATATAATACGGTATTAACGGATTCATTCTTTACGGATATAAAGCTATATTGGATTGCCCGTAATCGGATATATTGATGCAAAAGAAAACGACGATTATAAATGCAAATCTAAAAATTCGTACCAACGCATCTAAATTAAAATTATTATGTTTGGTAATTCCGATAAAAAAGGTTGGCGTATGCTAAATAAACGTACTAAATAGCAGCTGAATATTTTGTTTTGTATGGTTCTTTTTCTTCAATATATTAATAATGTCACGTGCTTTAATTAAAGGGACTCTTTATTAACGGGATTCGAGATATATTTTTACAATTATGAACCATATGACATAATCTGTGCAAAAACTTCAGATCAAATCTTCGAAAATTATTTCAAGTTTGAAAATAAGCATCGTTTATTTAAATGTTTATACGTGAATCGGGCTAAGTATCACACAAAATTGAATACGATTTTGATTTTAATTACGTGATTTTAATTATGAGTACATTTCCCTATTAACATTTTCATTTTCAAGTGCCCAGCCCACAACAGGGGCACTTTTTGCTAAATATCTGTCCTGAATCTGACATTATAATAATATAATATAAAATTCCAAATTTACTATAATTAATGAACTTCCCTAGAGGCAGCTTCACACCCTTGGTTCAGTTATGTTAACAAAAAGTACATGAAACAAGATAAAATAACCATATTATGTATATCCTGTCTTTAAATAACTGCTTGTTGACGTCAGAATAAAGATCAGTCCGCCTGCAATGTCTACTATTTCGTCAGTACTTTTTTAAGATCCCTAACAATGGTGAATGGTTTTATTCAGAATGAAAGAATGGACTAATGTCTTGTCCTTTTAAGATACATGTATGTTTATAGCATGGAAATGGTTAAAATAGGAAGCTTATATAAAAAGAAACATTCTGGTAATTACTCGAGGCATGATTTACTTATTTAACATACCAATTGACTTTTAAGCTAACGATTATTATCGCATACATCAGTCTGCTAAAGCCTTTGGTATAAATATAGATCGAGCAAGACCATTGTTAGACTTGTTTACCTCCTTATTAAGATATAATTTATTTCTAATACTTAGTTAACAAATATTTAATTTTTAAAGTGAATGAAAAAACAAACAAAAAGAAACTGCAATCTCCTGCACATGCATGGACACCGAAAATTGATGAAAGCAATGTATTTGACCATGTTTAACAGTGGCTCTTGAGGTAACTTTATTATAACTTTATTATAATCGGGGTGTTGTAATGCTTACTAGTTACTTTTTGATCACTATCGGAGATAAAATATGCCTTCCAAACAACATAATCAGATTTCAAATGATACATTTTTGTACTGAATGACATTACCCACTTTAACTGACAATGCTTGAAGACTTAAATGTTGCCAGCAACACATTGTCTTCCACCAACTATTTAAAATGTTAAAAGTATACATGCTCTAATTATAGAATGAAAATGGATACTGAAATTGTTACATTAGTGTAAGACTTTGCTGCATAATTATTTAATTTAAAATTTAATTATTAAGCCACTGAAGTAAATGCAAAAATTATATGCATCCCGTCGTTACAATGATAAAATCAGAAAAAAGATAGCATGATACATGTGCGGATTCGGACACCCTCTGGCAGAAAATCCCGGATCCGCGCTTGCGACAAATTCTCGTTAATATACTAAAATGTTAATACACTTTATCTTACAGAAGAAAAAAATATTTTAACAGAAAAAATATACATTGTCATAAGAAAACCAATACCTTTTCTTACAAATAAATACATTGTGTTTTCCTTAAAGAAAAAAATACAATTTTAACAGATAAAACATGCATTGTTTTAACAAACAACATGGCAGAAAGCATACCTTTTCTAACAGTAAATATAACATTTATAATGCAACAAACAATAATTACTTAATTAAGTACTCTTTTTAAATGTATTTATGGCACTGGCAACAACACAACAACACAGAATAAAATATTTTAACATTAACCCTTAACCTACTGGAACCGGAAGTGTATCTAGCTAATGCCACCAGTAAATAGCAAGTCAAACCTGAATGTCCATGTCCAGTCTGGCCAGGCTCTATACAGCTGGGAGCCCAATTTTTATAGTTTGATATTGAAATACACTAAACACCAAATGAAAGTTCCAAATTGAAAGCAGGACAAATTCATTACACAAATTCAGGAGGTTAAGGATTAATTATAAAACGACTAATTTACAACGAGATTTACAACATATTTATAGGATTTCAATTCAGCGTTCCACATTGGTCACTTCCTGTAGCTGTGTTGTTCACAATATTGTTTTCAGTATTATCATCTATTGTCTACAATTTTTGCGTACAATATACAATACACTAGTCTTATTGAACACTGAAGTACAGTCCAAAATGCATTTACTTCAGTCCAATATGCATTTGGCTGACTTTTTGTTGTGGCAGAATTGTTATTTCTTTAAAGTTAGCAGTACATCAAATACCATTAATCACCGCACAGTAATAATCAGCGTCAACTATTTTTTGTAATATTCCTTTACAATTGATATTCGCTTTATACCAACAAATAATCGAGTGCTATTGTTTAAAAGATTTATTTGTAGTCTCAGTAAATCACGTCCAACAGAGTTGATTCATTACTAAGGTCATGGCTGGATGACTATTGTGTATCAATTTAAATAAAGGTATGCCATTGATTTATGGCTCATTAATTTACTTTGTGCAAATTAATTGACTTGTGGTTAATTACAGTTCTTCTCGTCACTCGAGTCAGGACAATCGGACTCACCATCACACCTGAAATTTTGGGGGACACATGTACCCTCTCCGCATTCAAACTGGTCAGCAGCGCAGTTAGAACCTGTAAGATTCAAAGAAATGTTGACATTACAATAAATGTACGATATAATGATTAAGAAATCTTGACATTACATTAAATGTACCATATAATGTTTAAGAAATGTAGGCACAACAATAAATGTACGATATAATGTTTAAAGAAATGTCGACATTACAATAAATGTACGATATAATGTTTAAGAAATGTTGACATTACAACACATGTACGATATAATGTTTAAGAAATGTTGACATTACAATACATGTACGATATAATATTTAAAGAAATGTTGACATTACAATACATGTATATGTACGACTTGTTTACTGAAATGTTAATAGACATGATTAAAAAGTGTTGACATTAAACTACCGGGTATATACGTAATGTAAAACGTTGACATTAAAATATAATGTTTTGATATTGTGTCTGAAGAGATGTCGACATTAAGTTAAAATGTAACGATATTGTGTTTAACATATGTATATTCTGATGTGTATAGTGGAATTTTAGCATTAAAATATAATAAACGTAATATTGTGTAATATTGTGTCACAACGTATAGGAGTTTGTGTTAAAGGGTGAAAATGTTTAAACCTAACATTAAACTATGTACGATAATGGGGTGCAATATTCACCTCGTGTGGTTGTCATTCTCGCAGTGGTAGGTATTGTTGTGGAGGGAGGAGGTGATGTCAAATCTGTAATAGACAAGAATTATTTCTTTATTTAGCCGAACGGGTGTGGGTATTACCGCAGTACGATTTTCAATTGACATTTGAGTTTCCTTTTACATTTACATGCAAGAAACTTCTATCTACGCACATTATATATAAAGGATATTGAACGAGTGTAAGTTCAATACTGAATTTATTGCAGGAGTTGAATAAAATTATATTATGCGAGCCTTTTGCGAGCTTTATGTTATTTTATTCAACGAGTTCAATAAATTCAGTAATTTAATATTCTATTTATCACATACCCATAATAAAGACCGTTTAAAGTGAAAAAGAGTCATTTTTTCATTGACGCGCCAAGAGTTTAGCTTGTCTTTACACTGTTTGTATTACGGTGATGACGTCACTTCAAAATATATGCACGACCGTGCAATACCATTTTTACGGAGTCGCAATATCGGCACGGGTGTGTGATAAAAAGAGTTATGACATTTTATATATTAGACCTGAAGAAGAAGTAACAAATAACAAATCATGATTGAAATAACTGATTTTATAAATAAAAAAGTGAACATAGGATTTATTATAAATTCTTTGCGATTGAGAACAAATATTTGCTACGAAGAATACATATTAAAGCAATCTGTCTTGGTAACATTAATAAATTTATTGCAAAATAAGACAAAACACAATTGTTTTCATAAGTTTACAGTACATATTGTAAATAGTTAGATGAAAATAAAAAAATTGATTAAAACAGGTCATAAGGAGCGACATAGGAGCGACTGTTGCTGTTTAAGACGTTTATTTTTTTCCCTTATAAGCCCTTTACTTACTCTTTGACCTACTTTTCGTAGGCATGCTAATGTTTACCCAGATAGATGCTGCGTTTAAATGAAAAAAAAAAATGTTCTCGCGAAATAGACTGTCAGGCACTTTCAAATTAAGCCATTCTCATTGGAAGGAAAAGAAGGGCAAAGACTAAATACTTAGAACACCAGCAGCGATATTGACTTTCAGGACTATGTCCCTATGACCCCCACCACCCCTGTTGAAGACTGGCATGTCTGCAGATGTGTCCGTGAAGTCGGGTTCCTGGTTGCACAGGGTGTTATATTTTCATATTGAAATCCCTGAAACTCACAAGTTCCGGTTCCAAATTCAAAGAAAGTTAAGTCCATTATACAGTTTGCGGATTAAGGACTTTGCATACCTAAACAAGTATACGTATTAAGTCTGACGTCATCAATGGCCATATCAACACCATATATGGTAGTCTCATTACGTATCACGGTAAACCATAGCCTTATTTTAGCGTTGTCGGGTAAATCAACGCATACAGGTCGCCATTCGTCTCTCAGATCCAACACGTGCGCTTGCCATGAGACGGTCTTTGTCTGCGTTTGCATATTTTCTATAGAAAACTGGAAAAGAATAAAGATAATCAACAAATAAATATTAAAACAAACGCTTAATATATTGCTAGCATCCAAATGTTCTAACATACGTGTATTTGTTCACGTCATTTATGCTTGACAACATGGATCTGAACTGATTTATTTAGTTAAATGTTTATTATATAATAAGAGATTTCAACATTTATTAAGCCATAAACTGTCGCAGCAATCCAAACGAAGTTTATAGCTTGACCACTAGATCCCCTTTAATCTGGCGGCGAACCAATGTTAAAATGAACATTTAAACAGATGCCAACGATGTCAAGACACCACTCAATTAAGTTAGTTTAATGTGTAATCTTCTTCAATTAAATGTCATATAAACTTTTTAAAGAATTCAAAGCTAGAAATTTGATAACAATTGTATTTGAAATTCATAAGGAAAATACCCTTCAAGTGTTTTTACATTGTGATTGACTTTTTAAAGATAACCAAATTATGTGTTTAAAACTGCATTGGACGTGAATTCTTTTATATAGAAAATATATTTTATTTTTGTTGAATATGTATTGAAATTCATGAATTCTCATACCTGCAATATACCTGGACGAGCGTGTGTTTGCTCTAATGAAAGCATGTGGTAGTAAAACAGCACACTCTGCCCGACATTTGTCGTGAAAACGGGTGATATTAAAGAAGCGTTGTCACCTGGCTTTCCATTGTTAGCTTCTGTGTACATGTAATAACCTACAAAAAGAGCAATATTTAATTTAAATAAAACCTAAATAATAGAACGATAAGCCAAACGATTATTCCATAAAAATGATTAAATGTTTCCAGATTGAGAAAAAAAATCTGGGAAAATTGGTTATCCCTCGGAAGCAACGAGAAAACAAAAACAGTACATGAAAATTGAGTCAGTTCGTGTGACAAAAAATCAAAAGTGCAACATCTCTCATTCCCCCTATTTTAAAAAGTACTTTTCAAATGCATTCTATACAAACCCACATCAAAATCGTTTAGCAAATACTGTGGTATAAGGACCCAAAGATAACAATAATAGTATATACTCCAGCGGAACAAAACTACACTTACTAGTAAAAGCTACTACATTTTACCAATCAGTAAAACATACATAATTATACAATTGGTTAAATCACAAGAAGACTCTAGCAAGACTTTTATATGATCTGGGAAAATTGAATATTTCTTTCACAGTCAATCATATACAAAACTATTGATTGAATCACTGATTATATGTAATTTATCATTTATATGTAAGTATAAGTATTTAGTTAGATTATAAGCACAGCATTGAAAAAGACACAAGAATCAGTATTTTAAGCCAAACGTGCTCATTTCACTCCGTTTATGAAACAAGTTCTTGCGACGTGTATTTATCATTTTCGTGTCCAGTTCGATCCTGGAACAATCTGATTTAAATCAGCTCCTCATTAACGCTACGCATTAGGATCTGACGAGCACCAATAGGAGGTCAACATCTTAATCGTGGCCTCTCAAACAGCCAATCAAAGGCGAGTTTTCACAATTAGACTGATAATCTAACAAATCAGTACTGGTGTCGTATAAAATAACCTTTTTGTTTTTAGGCAAGCGCTACTCTTTTTTAAAACCAATTAGCATCTTCTTGTATATCAAAGACAATGTATTCAGTCACAGTTACCTGACTCATTGCGGTAAGTATGATCATACTCCGGACCAGTAAAGTGAGTGAGTGTTTGACCCTTGTGCCGTTCCCACCGGAAGTTAGTGTAGGACAGGAAGTCATATCCACACATGTACGGATGCTCAAAAGTGCAACTGACAGACAAATATGATTCTGGAAAAAGTATAAAAGAAATCGTTACCGTTTGTGTAAACCGCATATATAAATGGCAAAATAAAAAAAACGGTTTGCATACTCTTATCGTCATATTTGGAGAAAGATTTAGACAAATATTTCAAAATTATAATTTATCAACATTAATTATTGATTTTTGAATAAGAACAGAATGCTATTGAAGCTTTAAAGTGAAAGTATGTTGATACCCAGAACTTATTTACATGTACTTAAATGACTTTTAAAATGGAAGCACAAACAATGGAATTTTTACAGCCGATCAACTTAAAATTCATTTCACTTCAATTAAATATTCAATAATGAAAGGTTGATTTCCTCAATAAATTTAAATAAATGAATCTATATCGAATATGTTTTTCCCTGATTGAATAACTTACGGCAAACACTGCCCTCGTCACTCGAGTCCCGACATTGAGGTTGTCTGTCACATTTGTAGGCTTGCGGTATACAGCGTCCACTCTCACAGCGGTACTCGTCAGCAGTACAATCTGAAAATATCAAAACTTCGTACATATGTAATCACAGAAATTGTTTTCTATAATAACTGCATCTTAAATGTCTTTGTCGATATATTATAATAGAAGTCGTTTATTTTACCTTTAATATATCCTTTATGTGAATTCAATTGAAATGTGTGTGCGTGTGCGTGCGTGCGTGTGTGTGAGAGGGGTTGCATTCATTGAACGCCGCCTTTCCTTGTTTATCTTGCTTTTTATTGTTTTATTAACCACAATCTGTCCATATGAATATCTGTATTTTAGTATTTTAACATAATTTATAATAAATGGTTTAACGGCATGTTTAATTGTGTGTGAATTTACATCTCAAATAAATATGTATAGATTAGTTTTAACTCTTGTTGGATGATTTGGTTGTATGTTTTTATTATCTTTGCATGTCAAGAAATGAGGCAATAAACTAAGCTGAACCATTAATATAAGTATATTTAAAATGCAACGGAATTTTCAAAACCACAGAGAAATACTGATGACTCATAAATGTATTGCTCTTTAGCGTCAGTATCGACAATCAGTATTAGCCCAAGTAGTCTGTCCAGACACTTAATTATCGTGAGACGTTATCCGGAACTGGGCAAATGTGTTTTTCCCCCAGCTAACTTGTAGGTACAAACAAACTTTTACCGTTATAGCTTCACGGTACACGACCTGTCACAGTAAATTAGTCAACATGTTTCGCTTATTTTCGAGACTGTTACTGTAAAAGTTTGATTATACCTACGGATTAGCTGGGGAAAAAACAAATATTCCTAATTTCGGAGTAAGTCTAAAGGACAAGTATATCACAAACACACAGAAGCAAGAAAAAAAAAACAAACAAAATACCAACATTATAACAAACTTACCACATTGCTCCTCGTCTGATTCGTCCATACAATCGACTTTTCTATCACACAATGCTGATCTAGGTATACATCTGTCGTAGGTCTTACATTTGGTGTAGCTCGAAGAACAGACTGAAAGAAACAACACCTCTACAGTTTCTTAGCGTCAATAATATCAATAACATCTTTTTCTTTTTTATTGGGTTTTATGTTGCACTAGCACATATGGTGACTTTCCAGGTTTACTGGTGGAGGTAGACCTCAGGTGGACAGGAACGGGCACCTGAGTAGAACCACCGACGTTCCGTAAGCTAGAACCTTTGAATACAAAAAAAAAATAGAAATATTAAGAAAGTTAGAAGTACCAATACTTGAGACTATTGGAAAATAATAAATAGCATAGGTGATAGAAAAACCCATCCTACGAGATTCATATGTCTAATTAATATCAGCTTACTATAATCTGGACAAACTCCAGGTTTTACAGCAATATCATCTAGTGCGAGGAAGGATCGGAATGAACCCTCTGATATCTGCGTTCCCTCGACATCATATGTTATATTTACAGTATCAGCTACAGGTAGATCTACTTGAAACAGCGTCCATCTATCGTCAAACGTTGACTGTGCCATGTACGTTCTCATTTCGCACGTCTGACACGCCACCTATTGTTGAATATTTAGTTATTAAATTTCAACGCAAATCAAAGATATATGCTACGAACATAGATTTTCGTAAAGAAATACATGTATGATTGTTTTAACTTAAGACTCTCATTTCTGTACTAACGCGTGCGTAAAAAGAACAAAGAAATGTTCACTTTTATTTTCTTAACACCGAGCCAAAATGAGAATGGTTATATGGAGATTCAAATATACCTCAATTGGCCCTTGTGGATATTAGAACGTTATAAAATCCCCCAATACGATATAATAAGACCATTAAACAATTCATATTATATACATTGTATATATAAATATATCATTCGGAGAGAAACACAGCAAATAGGACTCAGTATAAACAATTTGAACCAAATGTTTCTATAACTGATATGGGAGAGTTTTGTCAGAAAACTGGAAGTATCCAAGTGGGCATATTAGATCTCACTAAATATTACGGAATTCGTCAAATACCTTCACTTTGAAGTTTTATTTTTATTACTACTGTACAAACTATACAAATACTATGAATACTTACATGAATTTTAAAGTTTACTTGGGACTTCATTTGGTAGTAGAATGAAAAACAATGCACTCTGCTTTGTAGATAGAACAATTGCCACATGTAAATATGGTTAGAACTTGTCTGTAAACTGTACGCATTGATATAAAACAGGAACCCTGAAATGGTCAGATTATAATTACTAATGCAATGCAATATTCATTTTAAAACAATATGATAAACTTCCAAATAAAAAGTGTTTTTTTTTTATGAAAATATAAAGATACCGACAGTTCTAAAAAGATTCATACCTTTTAAGGTGAACAATGTGTAAATGTCATATCCCACTTATAGCTACCCCTGAGACAAATTAATTCAATAGCCACAGTGGACATTATCATGTACAATGATAAACAGACTTTCACCTGCAGTGGGATGTGATATTATTCTATCATAGCTAACAAAGCAATGTTCCAATGATTTAAACTATTGTCAAGTAACAAATAAAGCGATAATTGGCACTTATTGTCCATAGAAAGCGTCAAAACATGCAAATAAAGCTTGGTACTGCTGTCATACATTGCATCAAATAAACAATGTGTCATTGGGATTGTGAATATCTATACAATTTTTTAAAACTGGAAAGTTCAATCATATGGAAGCATTTAACTTTTAATGTCGCATAATGTTATCGTGACACAAACAAAAAAGAAGCAAGGGGTACTAAATCATTTTTACACATACCGTCTTTTGTCATGGTGGTATGGTCAACAAAACTTTTATCGGCAAGTTCATCCCGCACGAAGGTGGCATTTACCAACCACCAATCTGAAGCGTCTCCGACTTCTTGGTAAAGAGCGCACAAATTCCCATTATCGAATGTACATTTATAACTAGTTACCCCTTCTGAAAACAATAAAGAAATAATTTTCAAGAGTGTTTTCTGTACCATTTTAGATATCTGTATATGTTCAATTGTTATTAAATGTGATTGTCATTCCTCAGTTTATATGATCATGTTTTTTACTTTATGAAAAACCATTTCTTGCTTTGCTTTGATAAAAGACACTACTCTAAATGTGTATCATTTACTTGCTTGCACAAAGAAAACCAACAGACAGATTGCATAACTTTTAATTTGTTTCATTCTCTAGACTGACTGTACAATTGGTTTTAAAGATATTTGATAATTTTCATCATAACTAAAGGTCATGTTATGCACATGTTTACCATAAATTAATACACGATTTGTAGAAAATCATATCTAAGAGTATGTTATTAGACTTATGGAAAAAATGTAAATATCATAAATAAATACACGAATTACAGAAGATTTATTGAATACCGCTTTTGTCGGTGATAGGGGGCGAGAAAGATGTTGCAAAACTACATTATCTCTAATTAACAGACTCAATCAAACAGAGTCTGAAATTTTCATATAAATTTTTTCTTTTACTGTCTCATTTTTCCTGATTTTTAATTGAAAGAACATTGTATATGACATACATTCAGGGGCATGATACCAGGAAAGTCAAGGTTACACATCATAACTTACGGGTACACGATTTTTCATCCACCGCGTCTTCACAATCTACTGCAAGATTACAATGCAGCTGTTTTGGTATACATTTATGTTTATGCTCCTTGCGGTTTGTACAGCGGAATTCATCATCCTTGCATACTGTAATTTGAAGTATAGATCTATATACATTTGAGTTATTTCAGTATTTAATCATTTGTAATTAAATTAAAAACAAAATCATAGCTTCTTCTAAGCTTGATTAAAACATTCCAAATACATAAAGACGTAAAAATATATGAGTGAAAACAAAAAACAATATTTCAAGACACTTTATTCCCAAACTCAAGGCTGTGTGTAGACAATTAGGTGTGTGATTTTATACATTTAATGATTTTTTAAAAATATTTAATATTTTTATATACTTTATACATTATAAAGTCGAGGAATACAAACCAGTTTCCGCCGCCCCCCCCCTCAACTGTAGTAGTTTCGGATCCTACCGGGACTTTAGATCCCTACATGTGAGGAGGCTATCCAGCTAGCTTACGGAACGTCGGTGGTACTACTCAGATGCGTGCTTCTGTCTAAAATAATGCCAGTCGTCATACAGTGTTGCTACTAGGTACCCCCACAAAAAACACAAAAAAGAAATAAAATAAAATATCCAAATTCAATACTTACACACATCGCTACACATGCCTGGTATCATGAGAACATCATCTACAGCTGCTGAAAGGAGATCCCCTGTCTTAAAATTCAGCTTAAACTCTCCTAATGTAATATCAAAGTATCCGGTTTTCCATTCATCTAAACTATTTGTCATGATGTCAGATGACCAAGGTCGTTTAATGTCGGCATCATTGTCATCAGCACCCCTGTTTAACATTAAAAACATAGGGAGGTAAAGGCTGCTAGAAATTGTAATTTTCTAACATAACGTATGGAATTACCTGTATATACAATATGTTATTACCTATGATGCAAACACTTTGAAATAATTGGTTGAGATTGGTTAATGATTGTCCAAAAATGATAGACTGTACAAACGTGCAGCATTATAAGACAAATTATACATTAAAGCGTATTTTTACGCTAAAAAGTGGCCGAACAAAGCACTTACCAACGATACACGTATAGATAGACAACAAGACCTAACTTGATCGAACCTCTTTGGTGATAAGCAAATCTTATACAGGTTTGCCCAGTGGTATTGAATCTTGGAGACCACAATTCTGCTTCACGAACGTCTTTTTGTTTTCCGTAGAAGAAACTGCCTGTAAAATTAACACATACATTTGCTCAGTCAGTTTGTTTTAAGAATTATAAATCCATTTTAATGTTCTTCTTGAGACTTGCAAATTAACTATTATTCGTTGGGAACTTATTTTCATAGTTTTCGTGAATAGGTCTATCCACGTCCTCAAATATATGTTGTAAGCTTCCGTTTACAGAAATGTCTATAATTAATATCGGAAATATCAGAATGAAAATTTAAAGTCGGTAAATCAACAGTGTAGAGAGCCTAGTGCAATCTTGGCTACCACTATGCTTGGTAACAGGAGGTTAGGGAATGAATATATTTCGTAGATATATATTTGTGTGTACCTGGGAATCTGCCAACAGTGTGGTCATATTGTGGAGCGTTAGACTGTGTATAGGTTTGACCATCCAATTCTATGCTGGCTGCAAATTTGTTATCATAGCCAAGCTTCCAGCCTGTATAGTCGTATCCACATAAAAACTTGTCTTCAAAATCGCATGAAACCGTCCTGTCTGAAATATAAAAAAGCATGTGTTAAATAGAAAAAAAAACAGAGTGAATAAAATATGCTAAACACGGTAAAATAATGCAGGTTCGGTGGTAAATGCATGCTACCGTCACGCCTCCATTGCCGGCTTAAACAAATATTCAACATTTAAACATGAAACTGTGAACTCCGAATTTGGAAACAGGTTATATTTTAGTTTCGTTTGCATGATGCATATTTCTTTTGCTGATCTGAATAGAAAGACGTTGCTTAATTTCAATTTTTAAACTTGATCTTACCAACTAAAAGTTATTTATATCATGCTGAAATAAGTGAAACTAAACTTATAACTGTGAAAGTCTTATCCTGCTGGCCTGTGACAATGGTTAGTTTAATGGCAAAATTTGTAATCTTGCAGACTCGGTTTCGTTGAGCCTATTCATGGACGGTACTGCAAAGAATAAGTTACCGTCCATGCCCATAGCAACCATTTCTACTTCATAGATGCGTCATGCTATTAAACCATTACTCTGTTGAAAATAGTAATTTCCCTTTGTTACCAGTATAAAGCCAAGCCAATCTGCATATCCGTGCAGTCAATTCAGGCTCTATGTTGTCCAACTTTAAATCCCCTTAATAATAATAACTTGATAATGCGCATTTTCAAAAATGGAGGCCAGAAAAGGCCATTCAGGTAATTCGGCAGGGTAAAGGTTGACAAGGAATAAACAGATGCAATACTTACTACAAGGTCTGATTTCATCAGAATTATCCCCACAATGGTCAACTCTATCACACAACTGGTCTGTATAATATAGACACTTTCCATTGTCGCAACGGAATTTGCACTCTAAATATAAAATATAACAATATTTTCATGATGTTTTCTCTTATTCGAGATACTATTTACATTACTTCAATTTCTTTGATTTACTTTTTCTACAAATTACGTACTACTTTAAATATTAAAAAGTAAACAGAAAAGTATGGTAAAATATGTAGTTAAAAGCAAAATAAGTCTATTTCTATATTTTTATGCCGAATCTTGGTTTAAATAAAAAAGATTTGCATTTCTATGTCCCAGAATTGTTTAATAAATTTAATTCTACTAGGACATTTGACACTTATAACACAACAATAAGTACGTGTAAAGCATGCAACACTGTGGGAGGTGAGGTCCACTATACTATAACTAACACATTCGGTGATTATATGATTTACATCCACTTCTACCAATACGTGATCAGACATATAAACCACCAATTACATACAACAGATTCGTGAAATTGATAAATATTACATTGAAAAAACAACCACTACAACAAATATTGCATTAAAAATAAAGTATAAAAATGTTTGTGTAATATATATATTAATTGAATTAAGATGTTTTATATATTTTCATATCTGTTTTACACGCATTAAACAAAAATACATGTCAAAATCAAACAGCATCCACCCCCACAATGAATTATACGATGTGACATGAATGGTTACTTTATATAATACTTTTTTAAAAAATATTGTTTAAAATCTACGCTTGTTTATAGAATCTTGATTCTTAACTTACCAATTTTACCATTTTTCAAATGATTAGTTTCCTGCTGTTTTTATTAATTATCAAATTTGATTCTTAACCTGCCAATGTTTTCATATATCCATTGCTAATTTTTTCTTTTATTCATTAAAATACCAATTTATAAATTATCCGTGGCAAAATATCATACTCTATTTGTTTAACCGACCACTATTGTCGATTCTTCAAAGCAAAATTCTTTCGTTCGACTAAACTAGAATCTTAACAGTATAATCATTATGCAAAATCCTTTTCCCCCCATTGGTCTAACTTTAACCTAATCTTACATTTTTTGTCGGTTACCCAAGATATAATCTTAATTGTAGAACTTATTAATTAAATTTAAATCTGTAGCTAACAAAATTGTTATTCCATGTCAATATCTGGATTTTCTCCCTAGTTATTTAACTTTAGTTACAACCTACCAGTCTTTTCACTTATCCATGGCAAAAAGTGAGAGACATTGGAATAAATGTTTGGTCTTTCAGTCATATTGCAGTAATTTGCCACGTAACTAGACACGCCGAAAATCTTCCATTTCTCGTGCTTGTCTTTACATAGTAACGGTCCTCCACTGTCACCCTATAATTGTTAATAGTCATTCACATATAGGTCCAATAAACTACAAATTAGTACCTACATAGGTCCGATAAACTACACGTTCGTTCATAAACGGGTCCAATAAACTACCAATCTATATAATCTAATTCATGCAATAACACACGTAAAATGTCCCATGACTGACCAGTCACCATGCATTTGTCCTGTAACATACAAAAATCACAATACAGCCTTCACAACAGTGACACAAAATGCTTATATTTTATTTATCAAATGTTTTATGGCTTGTAAGGTTATACAGAAAAACAACCGTTTTTAATTTACTACATAACCTGTCATAAAATCCTCATAACGAATTCATTATGCTGCACAACCGCTTGTTTTTTTCTCATAAATTTGTTGTAGCCGGGTATATAGAATTGAAAATATAACGTACTGGTGATCCAATGAAAATAGACGTTACAAACGTAAAGTAATATACAAATGTAACTATGAATATTTTACCTATTATTTAACATTTATAAACATAAAAAATGGGAAAAAAAGTCATCGACTGACTCTCAGCTTCAGATTTCTGAATGCTAACGATAGATTGGCTCTATATTTTAGGCAATGTTTCAGTTGATCAGTTGCATTTTGTATATCAATAATGTTTTGGTATATATCTTTGTAAAATCGAATTTGACTTCTTACTTTAAATATAAGCATTAAGTATCATTGGATTTCAACATCTTTTGTTCTATCCTGACTTGATAAATCGATTGCTTTTGTTCCGGCCCAGAAATGTTATTGAATTTGGTTTTAAAGCTTTCTTTTTTTTTAATTTCATTTATTCATAAAATAAATATTACTGTGAAATAATGAATATCAAAATTAAGCGATGTTTTATGTAACGTTTGTTTCGATATCATTACGGAATAGATAAAAAAGAATGATTAAAATCCAGTATGTCTTATAATATTTATATATATTTAAAGGGTATAAAGCTTAAACTGGCGAAACAAACTATAATGATTGACAAACATTGTTTTCATAACCATTTGCCATATAGGGGAGAAATTTTTTAATTGTCTCTGTTATTATTTCTTGATTTGTATCTAACAAAAACACCACTAAACGTCCGCCAATACACTGTTTGTCATGGTTTGATCAGACATATTGAGCACGCGTATCTTTTTTTACCGGTTATTTTAAAAGCATCATAAAAGTGCAGTTTAGTGTGATTTTTATTAAGATACAAATATTCTTTTGTACAGCAAGTACAGCTTTATGCCCTTTTTAATTGTTCAAATAACTAAAACAACACTTCTAACAGCCATCTTTATAGGGTGCTACAACAAAAATATTGTAAAATCAGATATTTTCACGAGGCAAAAATTTTGCAAAATGAAAATTTTGGACTTATTATCGATGTCAAATGTTCACAAGATTTTTAACTTACGGTTCCATTAAAATTATTATATGGTAGATACTTAGTGAAGATTCATTTCAGTTCGCAAAATTAGCGAAATTGTAACCCTCAACAAAAATTCTGATTTTACAGTACTGCATGCAAGGTCATGTGATTACAAGGACACTGATGACGACATCAACAATTCTTAAAAAACTCAACATCCAACAACCATGCAACACAAACAAGGAAGACAACCCATCGGCATTAACAGTGTACCTATCTTATTGTTGAGCCAACCAATGAACATAGAAACATTAGTGAACACATTGGGCCTTTCGGTCATGTTACAGAAATTGCCGACATAACTGTTGATTCCCCGGAGTTTCCAGGTTTTGTTTTTATCAAGACATAATAATGGCCCACCGCTGTCTTTCTACAAAAATGAATCAGGTTTTTTTCAAATAAATATGCTTTAAAATATATAAACTGTGATATATAGCAGCACAATATAAGTATACATGTATTACATTTCAAAATTTTAACAGACTTTTTCTTAGCTACTGTTTTGATACAAAACTTTGCTTTCAACATTTAAAAAAAATGATCAATTCTTAAATTCACTCTTAGAGAGTATTGCAATCTACAAACTCAACGTTTAAAGTGCTAATAAAGAAAAAAAATATTTCATATATATTTTCATGTATTACCAAAAGGTAGACAGTACCTGTGTAATACATTTACTTTGAGAAGTGTTATACTATGAACTCATAAATATCTCTAGAAAACAGATATACTAACTTTGCATATAGATCGCACACCAGAGTAATATCCAGCACATAGGAAAGTATCGTATATTTCACCATTCCAGGCTACAGAGCTGTTGCATTTCTTGGTGTCCCATAGAGTCATTTTCAGTTTCTGTAGCACCTCTGCATAATCACCTAGTTGATATAAATCAATTTTTTGAATCGTATAATTACATCTACTGATATTATTAAATTATATATTAAATGTAAACATATACACGTGTTTATTTCTTACATTCTATCTTTAGTTGAAAGACTTACATAAAAAACAAATTTATCTTATTTTATAAAGTGTACCTTAAAAGTGATCTTGTGCTATGTATATGACAAGAATTATCACAATTAGATTATTCTTTATGAATAATTTCTATCAATAAAACCTGACTGAAAATTTTACAAAATATATTTAGTTTCATACCATCCCATTTTGTTTTGCCCCAACCAATGGTGTAACATTCTGAAAATAGCGGCAAAGGCTCGTCAGGCTCTGGTAGACATATTGGCTGAATATAATCGTTGAAGGTCACTGGGTGTTCTAGTTGAAGTAAGGCTATATCATTCTTCTTAAAGTACACGTGCTCTGAATGGGATTCTATCGCTTCAACTTTTACCACACGTTGGGTTGTCTCACTTATTTCTCGATTGTTGGCTCCCAATTTGACCTTAAGGTAACTGAAATCTCTTATAAATTTCCTGAAAAAAGAAAGCAGCAACGGTTTTGGTTTTGACATTGGAATCTTCTAAAGTGAAAATGATATTGATTTATGTCTGCAGATTACCGTATGTTGAAGTCAGTTGGCAATATAGGCCTAATCTCCTTTGCCTATAAGTTACAACAACCCCTTTATTTTTAAAAAGACTAACTGATTAGCGCATTTTTTTCAATCCATAAGACAACCAATTATTTTTTGTTGTTGTTTTTTATTTTCAGAGAAAATTATTTTTCTTCATTATGGATAAATGTTCAAATATAAAGTCTTGACAAAACGAATTTTGTTTATAACTAAATGTATATTTATTAAATTGTCTCTAGTGCTTACTCAACACAATGCGCCGCAGTTAGAACAAATGTGTCGCTGATTAAAGTACCACCACAGAAATACTGTCCGCTGAAATACAAGGCAACATGCCAGGGCCATTCCCCAGGATGAGCGTCTTTTCCACCAACAATGTCTACTACCATTGGCTCGACCATCATCTTCCCACATCCTTTCACAAATATAAAAATACGAATTAAATATTATATGCTCAAACAAAAGTTTTGTCTGAAAGTATGTGTTGCTTAAAATTGCTACCTTAGGCAATAAAGGACATGTTTTTGTGATTTGCGTTAAGTGGTAGAAACAATACTCGACACTAGTCACGGTAATATTTTCAACAGTCAATTTTTTTAACAGTCTCATTAAAACGAAAACAATGGTGATTTTTCCGCAAAGAAAATTCTACATAGAGTTTTCTCGCCCACAATAATAATCGGACTCAACAAAGAATAATTTAATGTTGAAACAGTTATGAAAGAAAAATACTAACTTGAACCAGTCTTAAGTATTCTCCCCTACACATATCGTAAAGTGTCAAGTAGTATATGCATCGTGCTATACTGACGACAATAAATCATGGTTTAAATTATCATGTTGTGTACAAAAACGATAATCAATCCTAAGATATCACCGAATGAGTAAAGAAAGAAATATAACAGTTAGGCAATGCTTGACATGATCCTTTGGAACATATTTTTGGTTTAATTAATCTCGTATGTAATCGGTAAAATACTTTTTACTTACCTCTTGGTTCACAGTTCACTCTGACACCCTTGCTACCTGGACAGTCGTAACTGAAATATGAAAATATGATAATAACCAACCACAAGCCTTAGGTAAATAACAACAAATCAAGTCAAATTATTATCCTCTAGTTCTCGTATCATTAACTTAGAATACATAATTTGTTAGAAGACTTAAAGGTAACCCATGACGGCAACATGCAGGTTGCGAGTTCGAGTTCACTGAACCAATTTAGAACATGACATAAAGTCTCTCGCCCCAAGCACTGGTGTAGGCTCATTTTAAACAAAAAATGCTGTGTAATTTTGAATTAAGTAACATCCGCAGATTTGTAAATTTATATACTTACGTCAAATCAATCGGTCCTAGAACAGATTGTATAGGACTGGATAGGGAAAATTTTGTAAAAACGTGGACATTGTAGGGGATGGCGGAGTAGTTTATATATTTCCTGAAATAAAATAAAAGAACTGTAATGATAACCTGTATTCATGATGTATGAGTAATTAATCGCTGCTACATTCTAAGTATTATATATAAATAATTATCATATTGATATAAATGACTTTATGTCATGGATTGAAATCAATTTTGGAGATGATTTTAGTTAAACTATGCCATTACTTTTATTACATACTATGTCATAAGAAATGCAATCTATTTGTAGTGAACCATTTAAATACTAGTAGATGAAAAAAATATAAGATTTTGTTCATTTAGTGTTGAATGACGTGTAATGAAGAGATGTATAAATTGTTAAAATAATTCACAAACATTATCTTAAAGAATTTTTTTCAATCTGTTAAGCCATAAGTCCATATCGTTAAATGCAAAGTATTAATTATTATATGTTCACCCAAAATTGGCTTTGTACTGATACTTGTAGGTGCATTCGTAGTAAAATAATTAATTTGTGTATCTTTTAATGATTCAATCATTGTGTTATAAGAATATATTACCCCTCTCCAAGCAGGTTTGTACAAGTGTATGGGCCATAATCATCACTCCATGCCGATGCGCAGAGAGGTATAAAGAATTTCTGATAGGCTAACTCCAAAAGTCCTTTCTCGTGGTGTACTGTAAAAAACCAATGCATATCAATGAAAATATTAAATTGATTAGAGAAATTCATGAACGAAAGAAAGAGGAAATACATTGTATACATAATAAGTTAAGACAAGCTCATAAATAAATTATTTTATTTTATAAAATTTTACAGACAACCCTTTCCCCCTCCCCATTTATTTTAACAAACATTATCCCCCGTCTCACTATTTTGAAAGTATCAGATATAAGCATTTTATATATAATCTATGCCAAAAGCTTGAAAATCCAATCATTTAATATACAAAACATGAATGCATTTACATGTTTGTCAGTTTATGATAAGTAAAATATGACATTAGACATAACATGCAAATATCAAATTTGATGAAAAAATATCTTTTTTTACCGATAGATTAAGTTCTGTGGTATGCCTTTGTAAAAATAAAGGCATACCACAGAACTTAATATAAATATCTTTTGCATAAATGAAAACAAAAACAAAAATATTACTGTGATAAAAAGTCCATATAATTATATGATAATAATATGTTTATATGAAGCAGAGATAAGCAAAAATAATGATTAAATTAAAAAGCATATTAAGAAATACATATAACGATGAATAAAATTATAAAATAAAACAAGGATTTGAACTTCATGCGAAAGATTGTTTTCCTCTGGCAAGCTGAACACTTAAGCTCGAAACTGAAAATAACCCCCTTCGTTTAGGAGTTGCAACAAAATAAAAAAGATTAATCTTACCAATGTTGAAACAGCCATATACTTATAAGCTGGACTGAAAATCCATGCAGCAGACAAAATAATGAGAAATGACATTACACTTACTACAGTCCCACTCATCTAAACCTTCTGGGCAGTCCTCCACGCCATCACACTTCTTTGATAGGTCCACGCACGTGTTGTCCTTATCACCACAAGTTAATTGATTTATCCCGCACACATCTGTAGTAATACATGCACAGATAATATCATTACAAAACTTTGCGCAAGATAAGGATCAGATAATCATTATAACCGGGAAAAAACTTTCAGATCTCGTTACAACTTTTATAGGATTTTCCCCCTCTTAAATAATGATGAATGAATTAAAATGCAGAAAAATATGCCTTTGATTGACAGTCATTGTGCAAATCAAACCAAAACAGCACCGTGATATTTTGAATTTCATGTAAAAATAATTATCGAATGACTTACACTTACTTATTCGGATAATTATGTTTAAACATTATTTACTGGACAAAGGACAATATAAGAGTAAGCTTGTTATAAAGTACTCCCAAACGTACCACAATCAAATTCGTCCCAGCCGTCCTTGCATTCTCGTCTCCCGTCACATTTCCATTCTGCCATAATACATTCTCCACTTGGACATTTTAATGCCCCATGGCTACATCCGTCTGTTTGTAAACCGAAATTATTATAAATCTTCGTAATGACAGATCATTTAACAGATAAGATTTACAGTTTCGAACACGAATTCTAAGTGCATACTATATTACACACAAACCATTAACATCATTTTCATATTTTTTCCTGAAACATTTGAAGAAAAAAAACCTTCTACTTAATCCAATTTCTTAATGATAATAATGTACATTTTAAAGCACGATTTTCACAAACGGACGCTTGTTAAAACTTTAATCCCCTGTTGAAAACATATCCACAAGTTCTTTAAATACTGATAAAAAATATAACCTACCACAATTTTGTTCATCGCTATTGTCCGGACATTGTTCTTCGCCATCACATCTTTGGTATGACTTGATACACATTCCCATGTCACATTGAAATTCATACTCATTACATACTGTAAAATATAACCACAGTATCACATATATTATTCATACTCAATAAAACCACAGTGTCACATTTATAATACATACGCATAACATACTGGAAAAAGAACAACAGTGTCACATTTATAATTCATACTCATTACGTACTGGAAATAGAACTACAGTGTCCAATTTATAATTCATACTCATTACATTCTGGAAATAGAACTACAGTGTCACATTTATAATTCATACTCATTACATACTGGAAATAGAACTACAGTGTCCAATTTATAATTCATACTCATTACATACTGGAAATAGAACTACAGTGTCACATTTATAATTCATACTCATTACATTCTGGAAATAGAACTACAGTGTCTCATTTATAATTCATACGTTTTACATACTGGAAATAGAACCGCAGTGTCACATTTATAATAAATACTCATTTTATACTGGAAATAGAACTACAGTGTCTCATTTATAATTCATACTCATTACATACTGGAAATAGAACTACAGTGTCTCATTTATAATTCATACTCATTACATACTGGAAATAGAACTACAGTGTCTCATTTATAATTCATACGTTTTACATACTGGAAATAGAACCGCAGTGTCACATTTATAATTCATATATATATACTCATTACATTCTGGAAATAGAACTACAGTGTCACATTTATAATTCATACTCATTACATACTGGAAATAGAACTACAGTGTCACATTTATAATTCATACGTTTTACATACTGGAAATAGAACCGCAGTGTCACATTTATAATAAATACTCATTTTATACTGGAAATATACCCACAGTGTTACCTGTGCAAATGTTGTATTTTTCTTAAATACTAAATTTTATGAAGGAAAAACTGCTGCGATTTGTTAGCTGTAACTATTTTCATGGCATATGATTTTTCCCACCATTTTCCATAATCAGCAAATCAACATCATTTCAAATTTTCTCTTCATTTTAACACTCAAAAATTAATTATTTAAGAATATGATTCATAAGAAAAGAATACGATACAATAAAAAATATTGCTGTGATTAGATTGTGGTGTCAGTGTACGGATTATAACATATGTTTATTTACCACAATCCATTTCATCGGTCCAATCCCCACAATCATCAACACCATTGCAAACTTTATCTTCACTTACACACTTGGTGACTTTTCCACATGTGAATTCTTTGGCCGTGCAATCTGAATGGAAAACAGTCGTTATAATGACAGCCATAAGTGAGATCAAAAGAAAAACTTCGAAGAGTATACATCAGTCGCTAAAGATTTTATTTTCATGGATGACATTTTAAAACAATTATTCTCGATATATTGGTCATAACTAAGTCCAGAAGGAACAAATGTTTTAAAAATCGTTTCAGCAATTATGTAAATATTCACTCGTTTTGTTCCTAATTCAAACTAGGCAGAAATTATTTCACAGTTGAAAAAAAAACGTGCACTTGAACATATAGAAATGAAATTCAAAATGGACAGTTTTGGAGAAACATCATACATTTTAAATATTTTAGAATATGGAAATGAAAAGAAAGATGGACACTTGGAAATAATTTTTTCATATAAAAGTTACTTGTCTCTTTCATATTCTAGCAAGAATTTAAAAAAAACATTCATCAATGAAAAGACTGAAAAAGATCATGCATATACATACTGTATGAATGACTTTTGATTTAATGATGTTATCATGCAGGCATCACACACAGTGTGTTAAAATTTATAAAGACCATTAAATATATAGACTAGATTCAGAATAGAATGATATTGTTGGCATCACATTATTCTAATTCTTAAATGTCATTGACAATAAGTTGAATCATTTAGTTTTCATATTTCGTATTTAATAGCATAACAATTTAAGGTAACTCGAAAATGCAAAGTATGAGAAATGCAAACATAATTATCCACATATAAATATGTAACAAACGTGACGTTATAAAACGGAAATAACGTCTGAATAAACATCAGAAACTCGCTTTAAGGAATCATGCTGATTATGAAAATATCTTCATTCTAAAAACAGGGGAAATTGCACGATGCTTTTACTGAACTTACGTCTAAATGATCTTGTTGACGGCTCTAAAACGGAATTGAGTAATTTGTACACAGTATATAAACAATATATACATATAACTTGAGTAACTAGACTCTATAATTATACTTGACTACCAAATTTTGGTTGATTATTAAATGTTATGATGGATACAGGACCGTTGCATCCATTCAACAGCTAAGTGTTAAGAAGTGAATTTCTAATACTGATTATGATAGTTGCGCTATTGTTATCATATGTCCACAATTCTGTAATATTAAAAGAAAGTCTTTTTATATCTCTTTATCGGTGCTTACTTTGATATTTTTATATAAAACAAAACATACCATAACTTACACATATTTCTTTAAGGAAATGACTAATACCATACAAATACAAGTTAAAAAGTAAATTATTACTTTTATTATTTGTTCCTATATAACGCATTAAATATCAAATAGAAAAAAAGTATTTTTGTTTGCTATCATGATTGTGCCATTATAAGATATCATATTGCATTACCGGCAAATATAGGGAAGAAGATATTCATCATCTTAAACTTTTTTTTTGTTACTTTTTTATAAGTTCTAGTCTTACTACATTATCAGATATCATTAGTGGCAAATAAATAAAGGCAAGAATTTATTCATCATTGTAAGTTATTCTTTGTTACTTTTTAAAAAAATCTTTATTGTCTTCATCATTATTATAACTATGGACTCACTTGCTGTAGGTTTTGTCGGTGCTAAACAGTCGAGGTCATTAAACATCGCACATTGAAAAAACATTGATATATCGGTGCAAGCGTTCACTACAGCTGAAACGAAAAAATGTCAAATACATTGATGTAAAAGCATTGTAAACTATCTGAACTAGATAAACTTTTAAATGTATGCATCTGCATTGAATTGATTGTTATCCGTTTTTGTATCATAATTTAACTCTGACACATTTTGAATAAGAAGGTCTCCAAACTATGATACAAACAAATTTTATCATACTGCCACTGTTTTAAACAAAATGTTGTAAGCGCCAGTCTTTCTGAAACTATATGCTCCAAGTCTCATGATAATGTCACCATGACCGGGTTGGATCTTGTCACGATAACATAACAAGATCTCGTTTGTGGTGACGAAGAGAGAGAAACAAAGCGAACAAATTCTTGCTTCAACATCCATAAAAGGCTTTCATAAACATTTTTTAACACGCGAGTACTTTTGTACCCACTCACTATTTAGTTTTTTAATATGTTCAAATTTTTATGAATACTTATAATTACTAGTATATATTCATCAAGTAATAAAGATTCAACTGTTTAAGAACAAATAACAATATTTTTCTCTGAATAATTTAAAATAGTCATATAGTGCATATGTGAAATAAGGAGTATGCCAGGCTGTATTTTATACTTATTCTAAAAAAAATAAAAAAATTGCGTTTGCTATACCCGTATGTGTTTGTTACTTTAGTTAAGAAAAGAATATAAATAAAATATCGATCCACTATTTACCTTCACAAGTTCTCCGACACGGTTGAATGTTCACGCCAGACACACATTTTGGGAACTGGATACTGCAGACGAAAAATAAGGCATCCTCGTGACAGCCACTATCAATCGTCGGTTTAAGGTACTCGCTAAAAGTTACGTTAGCGTTTATTTGGTCGGCCTCAAAAAAGAAGTTAGGAAACATTGTTTTGGTAAATCCCAGTTTTCTACACGGTTCAATTATTGTATCCTCACATGTACCTAGAGAAAAAGAAATTGAATTTTTTCAATTCACTGTGACATATTTACTAAAATGTTGGCTGCTTTAGTATTCACTGTAAAATATATATCTAAAATTTGTCAAACTTTTATTTTTCGATGTTTCGTGTGTACTTATTTAAAATTGGACTATATATTCATAGTAATATAAGAACTTAAATGCATTTATTGTTACATATGCGCTTACATGAAATTGGATTTTATAATTATAGCAAAATACACACTTAAAAGTAGTTGGATTTTGCATTCATTGTTATATATATGACATGCTTAAATGAAATAGGAGTTTGTATTCATAGAAATGTACACATTGAAATGTAGTTGAATTTTTCAGATTTTTGTTACATAAATGCTTTTTTGAATTATGCTTTTTAAAAATATATGCCAAACTGGTTCCTTTTGTAAAACATATACCTGGTTTAGCTGTTGTTGTTGTTGGCGCCATTGTAGTTGTTGGCATGGAAACACAGTCTGATTCTGGGAAATACTCACAAGGAAATGGGTTGGAAAAATAGTTCCCGCAAGTGTTTACAGAAGCTGGAAACACAAAGAAAAACAACATGAACAAACTGATCAAATAAATAAACCTAGCATTCATATGATATTATTTGAATTGCAATCGGTTATTTAAAACTTTTCTTCAGTTACTGACAATAGCTTTGAGGTTGCTTTCAATATATTTTTCATGTCCATTTCACAGTTTGTGGAAGTTATTGGACATAACTTCCTCTAAAAAAATCACTATAACTTTTTCGTTTTCGAGGTTTCAAAGGGAAGCTCCTCTTTCAAAAATTTATTTTCTGTATTAGCGCAATTCTCTGATAAAGAAGAATGTGTTTCCATTTTTATGCATAGAATGCTTAGATGAGGGTTTATTCTTTGAATAATTACAAAAACATCCATGTTCAAATATGCTCTTATGTGTTCTACTTTCTTTTCTGAAAATTCAAGTAATAAGATATATTTTCCAGAAAGTGTTACTGAATCCGTTATAATATGCGTCAATATGTATCGTGTATATTACAAGTATGAGACTTCGAGGTTGCAGCTTTAAACTCAAAATTAAATTTCTTGAGTCATTGTATAGTATACCGACCATTTTGAGTACCTAAGTTACATCTATAATGTTTGTCTTTCGAGTCAAAACCTCCTAAAAGAATTTTCTAGTCACTTAAGAGAAACGGAAATAATAGCATAAACCCTTTACCTGCTGAAGTTTAATAATGGTTTTGTCTAGTTTTGAGGTTTGAGACAAAAATCTGTCCAATGTTTTAAGTACCTCAATAGCAAAATATGAGAAAAATGAGCGGCCTATGGTATAGAACATTATTAAACTGCTTTTTATACAAGTGACAAAGGCTTATTGCTATTGGTATCGATATGTTAAGGGGTTATGCTACTTTTTGTACCCATAGGCACTTAGGTATAGATTAGATACTACTGAAATTACACAGAAATGAAATATCACTTAAATTGTTGACATTATATTTAAATACCATAGAAGGACAACAAAGACATAAAAGCTAAAAAAAACTTCAGTCATAAATTATTCTGTATCATGAAATTTTGATATTTATTGTCATACCAAAGCACAAATCCTTGCAAGGTATAATCAGTTGACCAGTATATGGATTGCATTTTGGAAAAAATACAGAGCACATATATGTGATCGTAGTCTCTTGGCATATCTGGTTTTTGACTGGTTCCACTGATATATTGAATGCCTCTTCTGCTTGCGGTATTGACATATGGTTAAAGAAATTTGGAAATGTTGTTTGCGTGAAACCTCTGCTTTTACACATCTCAAAATGGACTGGTATACATAAATCTGAAATAGGAAAACGGATTGACATTTGCACGAAGGTTTTGAAAATAATTCTCAGAGTAAATATGAAAATTTAGACAACAAAAATGATCATTTAAAAAAGTTCAAACGAGGCTTTTAAAAGCAGTAATTGATATTAAGTGTCAATGAATGAAACATCAGTAAAGTGCATTGCTTTATTCGTTTTGTTTTCGACAAATGAATGTTAAAAATTAACCCGTACTTTATGCCTCTTTTTAAAATTATTTTATGCCTACGGTAACATGAATGGCAAAACATATAGTGGTGAAGTTGAATTCTGCTTAAGCCGTTACTAGTAAGAGATCCTGCATCTATTTTTTTTAAATTATATTTATCAAACTAATATATTTATGCAATTTTCACTTTTATATTTTTGTTTTATTGCACTCAATGGATCTCCTATTTTCAGAATTTCTTTGCAATAATCTGATATCATATTTATCTTATGAGAATATACAAAACTTTAGTCTTCTTAGGAGAGAACTTAAAACAGCCTCAAGTTTCTAAAACTGTGAGTGATTAATTGAGTCATATTCTGAGTGTAATAAATATATTTTAACATTGTGAGGGGCATAATTTTATACTTACCCTTTTCTGGTGTCGTAGAGGGGGTAGTGGTAGTCGTGGTCGTTGTCGGTGCTAACAGTGGATTAAACAAAAATAAACGTCAATAAGGAACACAGGTTGAGGAATATAAAAAAAATGCAAACAAATGTTTTTACTTAAAGAATTTGTTATTCGTATTTGTAGGTATTTATCTCAAGAAAATAAATTCTTATCTCTCCTACTTTACCAAAACATTTTTTTTGCGTCTCAGAAATTGATTTGCATCCGTGCTAAAGTTTATCACAATGCGCATTAGCGCAAATATCTTATCAAAACAGAAGGCTAACAAAACCTTTAATTAGCAATTTCAACCTAAACGAAAAAGAAAAGAGTATGTTACTCAAACCCTGAGGCCAAACTATGTGCTATGATGAAAATAAGTATGGTAAAATAAGGTTTGGTCTACCTGGATTTATAGTGACAGTTACAACATCCTGATCTCTTTGTCCAGCTTTATCTGTAACCGTTAAACGAAACACGAACTTGCCTTCGACCAGGTCAGAGACGGTGAGAAATTTAGTAGTTGATCCCGCCATAACAACTTTTATAGAGGCCGGGGACATTTTTTCCCAAATATATGAGGTTATTCCATGATCGTCTGTACTCCTTGATCCATCAAGGATGACTCTGTCCCTAGGTAAACTGATAGTAATATCTGGGCCAGCATTTGCTGTCGGTGGGTGATCTGGTTCTAAAAGTCATCATATGGTAAAATGATTAACACAACATCTAAAAACTAACCATGCAGCATTATATCATGCCTTTTCAATTTCTACCAGAAAAAAGTCTAGCCGAAATTTGAATTTTAAATTTCATTAGTTATCAAACCAAGTGGAATAAATATAATATTTACATACACAAAGAATGTACTTCATCAGTTCTTTAGCAACTAATAATTAGAGTTGATGCGACAATTCAAATGCGTGTAATTTCATCCTATAAGGTAAAGAAAAACTAAAAATGGTTAGAAAATAATTTTCAACTATAATTCTCGTTTTAGACAAGATTGTCCCATTGTTTGACGTTTCCTTTTTGTTTTATCCAGAAAATATCAGAAATGTCTTTGAACAGATCTACAAAATTTACATGGTGATTTTTATTACGTCAAATAAGTAAAATTAACATAAAAAGGATGTCAATTTTGCTTATTTTTTAATAATTGATAAATCTTGTGATAGCGTTTACACTAAAGCGTTCTACTTGGAAGGGAATACTTTCATGCTTGTGTCTACCACTACTTAACTATACTAAATAAATATTTACCCACTGTAATGACAAAACAAATACGGGAAACGGTTTGAAAAAAGGTCGAAAACAACAAACAAAAATCTAACCTTGCATGCATGTGTAAAAATGAGGAGTAGCGACTTTTTGGAGGATTGTTTGGAAATAAAATAAGATCATACACATATAATGGTTTCAAATACAAAATACAAATATCAAATATGTTGCAAAACTGCTCTTTACGATTTGTCCTAAAATGTTAATGTAATAAAAGACGTAAACCAGTTTTAATGATTCATAATATATTCTAGTTAAAATATTTTGAGATCAAAGTAATCAGCTTTCATATATCAAAATATGTAAACAAATACAATGTAAAATTTTAGTAAAATTCTAGTAAAAATACAATGTTTTAATTAACAAATACCTGCTTTAAAGAGAGATTAAATGTACCATAAAGATATAATTATAAACTATAAACTTGATAAGAAAAATTGTTAAGCTTTCGTAAAACACAATTGTATTCTTCATTTATCATCCAAGCAATATCAATTTAACAAATATGCGATATTTTCATTTGATTCCTTAAATCTAAAGTGTTGATACTTAAAGAAGTTTGCTAAAAGCTTTGCTTAATAATTATATAGTGTTCATTTGTAATATTAAGTGCAAATTAAAGCTTTTTGTATAATTTAGCAAGCATTAATTGTTAACCTGAATTATTATGTTTTTAATGTTCATGATTTCCTACATAGTATTACCTGTCGTTGTTGTTTTTGGAGTAGTTGATGTCGTTGAAGTTGTTGTTGTCGACTTTTCCGGCGTCGTTGAGGTTGTCGTAGGTGTTGCTGTTGTTGTTGTTTTTGATGTTGTAGTGGTTGTTGTTGTTGTTGGTGTTGTTGTTGTTGATGATGATGCTTTTGTTGTTGTTGTTGTTGGTGGTGGTGGTGGTGTAGTTGGTGTCGTTGGTGTTGTTGATTTTATTGTTGTCGTTGTTGATTTGGTGGTGGTTGTTTGGTCTGTTTGCGTAGCTTCTGTAATTGTCTTTGTGCTCCTTGTTGTTGTTGTGTATTGAGTTGTTGGTGGTGTATTTGAAAATGAAGTAGGTGTCATTTTTGATGATGATGACGGTGTTGTTGATGATTTTGTTGTTGTCGTCGTCGTCGTCGTTTGTGATGTTGTATTTGTGGTCTGTGGCGTGAGTGATGTTGTAGACATGGTTGTTAGTTTAGAAGAAGCCGATGAGGTAGGTGTTGATTGAGTCGACAATTTCGTTGTTGGAGAGGTCGATTTTCCTATTGACGTCGATGGTGACGTTGATTCTGATTTTGATGAAGTATTAGATGAAGTTGAGGTCACTGTGGTTGTTTTTATTGATGGCGTTGTTTCGAATGTCGATGTGCGATCTTTACAACAAAATAACAATCATGCATAAATAATATTTCTTATTTAAACCTTTAGAAGTCAGCAAGCTATAATTTATATCGTTATAGATGAAGCAATAAAAACCAGTAGAAACTAAGTTAACAGTGAATATTTATAAAAAGTGCATATTTCATTCTATACTTTTCTTAAAAGGAAAGAATAGTATACGCAAGTCTATTAACATTAACAGAAGATAACATGAATTGCTTATTTGACATTCATATGGTATGAAATCCCGAAAATAACATATAAGCTTTGTGGGAGTGTGCCGATTTAAAGTAACAAAATATACATTAGCTTATAAGAATACGTTGAAATTCAAAGATGTTATAATGATGCGCTTCATATTTTGTTTAGCTGAAATGATTAATGTTTGATCAATGCTGTTATTTATAATTCAATGCTTATATACATCTTTAATCGCATCTTTAAAAAACATTCAACATCTGTATATATTTTTATTACTTTTAAGATGTAAAATTTATCTTTACAGAAAAGGTCTACCCTACGTTATAACGACCTGTGAGATATTTGAACGTCTCCACATATGCAACAGACGAAGTTTGCGCTGATGTAGAAAAAGTAGAAGACAATGAAGATTCCGAAGTTGATTCATTCCTTGCCTCTTTCGTTGACAATGTGCTCATTGCTAATCGGTATAGAGTAGAAAGTATTCTCGACGACAGAGTCTGATAGAAAGGAATAACTGTGGCATTTTCTGTTTGTAAATTCGATTTATGACCATTTTTCTGATAAGATTTGTCCACATCATTCGCAGATTTTGAATGAAATATGCTTGGTGTTGTTTTTGGTATATCGAAATTAAATTGAGAGACGGCACCCTTGGCCTTTTTACTCTGTTGTTCAAAAGAAGCTTCTGTAGAATTTTTCTCAGATGATATACTAGTAGTATGCAACGACGACTTATCGGTTCTATTTAATGTATCTGTAATACTATATTTTGTCGTATTAAAGTTGCTTGATTTAGTTACCTCTGAAATTAAGAAATGACTTTCGAGATATTTAGAATTATCAGTTAGTGTCGAAAGAGTGAATTCCTTTTGCATATTCTCTGAAGACATATAATAGGCCCCGGCAGAAGATATGTTATTTGAAAGTCTTAAAGATGACGACTGAATTGTAAGAATTGGTGTCATACTTGGTTGTTTTGTCGTAAAAAGTGATGACACATCAGAGTCGCTTCCTTTTGGTAAGTATTTTGACACAATAGAAGTCAAATGTGGAGGTGAACTTGAAACACTAGTAAACATATCACTAGTTTGGGTTTCAGAGACCAAACGAGACATAATAGCTGCGATCTGATGAAAAATTTGTATTACTGATTTTGGTTCATCACCACTTTGTTTATTAGGTACCGAGAAGTTATCACTTCTTTGCTGTGATTCTGTCGTCTCTACAGTTTCGTTTAAAACAGAATAAGGATCCAATTTAAATACAGAAGTATATGTGTCAGTTCCACTTACGCTTTGAGAAATATCAAAGTTGGAATTGATTGTTGTTTGTAAAGAAGCAGTCGTAAGTTCTGATGATGTATTAGATGCGATTGAACATTTTAAGTTTGGATCGGATGCCGCAATATATACAAATGAAGTAACAGTTACTGTTACAGTACTAGTAGCTAAAACTTCAGTATTAAGATGGTTAAAACGTGAAAATTCCACAGGCTTTGAAGGAGAAATTGCGTGAGATACATTTTGAACAAGTGAAGAATTTATAGTTGTTGAGTACATTCCACTGAATCGTGCTGCAAACACAGCTAAATCACTCTTATCTTTTTGTAATGTTACAGGGTCACTTGAAAAAGTCCTGCTAGGGTTTACATTCGGTTGGTCTTCAGAATAAGACGAAATAGCCCTGGTCACGTTTTGTTTTGATACCGACGAAGAATTAAAAGAAGCGTCATATCCATCTAGCGTATCTTCAGATGACAATATAGATAGGACAGAAGAACTCACTGAAGAATGAACGTGTACTGTTTTAGCAATATATGACAATGTTGGTGATGGTACATCAGGTAGAGAAGATGTTATAGGATGAGCGGCATGATTTAAACCATCAATTGTCAAAGCTGAAAGACTTGACGGTACAAAAGAAGAGACAGTTGGTTTCTTTAGATATGTACTAACTGAATTAGTAACTTCAGATGGTGAGAGAGATATGACAGCGGGTAAGGCAGTCGATTCTTGCACAACTTCGGTAGATTTATCATCGTTGGTCAACTTCGATTGAACATCACTAGACTCAGGTGGCAAACCATCTGAAATTGTGGTTTGTGCTGCTATGACTTAAGATCAAATGATCAAAAGTTTAACTGACTAAGACCTCTATGCAGGCACAACCGTTTTAGTACTTAGTGATTAGTAAGAGTCAGTATATGAGTGGAGTTATCTAAAACAAAGTGCATCAACATGCTGAAGCTATAAGCCATGCATTTGTATAAGAATATAAGAAACAAAGCGGATAAAAATACATTCACATACATATTGTGTTATAATAATGTCGCGTTTCGTTATATAGATATTCAGGATACTGGCAGATTGGAAATGAATGAACACCGATGTCCAAATATTCAGAACTTAACTTGCAGGAGATGTATCTTATTCAAAAACAATATTGCTATGAGTATTCTTCACAGACGTCTACACGTTACATAAACGCTGCAGCTTTAATCGCTTGGTTTATTCAAGTTTATGAAAATAGATAGTTTGTTATTTTTAAATTTTGTCGTCATAAGCTTTTTAAATTCCTCCGGTGATGATATTTCAAATATAAATGAAAATATCTCTTACATTTGAACAAAAGTAGTGTCATTAATATATCTTAAGTTAATATAACTTTTAAATCTCTAGCCACAGTAAATATCTACAATAAACGAGAGAGCGAAAAAAAAACGGAATGACTCTTTAAAATAGATTATCCGATTGATTGATATACATCTAGCTTTGAAGACTTAATACTACTACTTAAGACGGTGCTATGACAGATGTCTCATGGACAGAGGACTTTGGGTGGGGCGCTTTCATCTTTATTATAATATTTTTTTTGCTCTTGACCTTTTTTCTGAAACTGTTTTTATATCCAGTAATGCAAAGCAAACTTATTTTTAATTAGTTCTATCACCAATAAAAAATTACCTGGCGTTGTAGTCGGTGGCACGTACGGATATACTACGAATAAAAATATATAAAAAATATTACAAAATAAAGTAAAGGCCATTATAAAATGTTAAATTTAACACTTGTTTAGTTCAGATCCATGAATAACATGTAGCCGAGTTTTTTTCCAGCTTCAATAAAAACATCTCTCTCCTGTATTTTGATATTTGTTTAGAAAGCAATACAAGTACCTTCTATAAAGTACAAGTTTTTAAGCGAATTTTCTCAATCCTTTGGTAAATTTTGAGAGTATTGACATCTATTATTAACATGTCTTTGTCTTTTAATTATCATTCATTGTAGAAATGCTCAACAACAAAAATCAGCAAAACATGCCAAATAAACAGGGTTCATGTGCAAAAAAAAACAAAAACAACACATTCATTACATGCTGCAAATATCACAATGCAAATATTACAGTACACTAGCTAGACATGCATATAAATGAATAGTATATTCATATTACTTTACTTTAAAATTCAAATACATAATCTAAATCCTAACTAAGAAAGTAATGCCCGTTTTGGAATGTTAATCAAATTCTAACGCTATTGCTGCTCTTGATATTTTAAAATATTTAGATGTATTCTTTTTCATTAAGAAACTTTGATTATCTTATAAAATTGATTTGTTTCTTACATATCAAATGCATTTCAAAGAGAGAGTACTAGTTTTAAACTAACCATGTATTTCTATCGTTTTTGAGTCGATGGCAAGATTTGTTTGAGGAGCTGCTCGTATAAGGTGCTCTTTAACAAGCCCAGCAAATTGCGGTGCCGTGTGACCAGTTTTCTTGTAGCGATAGTCATGTAACATCTTAAATCTAACTGCTATACTCCCAGGACTGAAATAAAATATGTTTTATATTGTTGTGTTTTATTTGTTACAAGTAAAATTACACTGGACAATGAATCAATTCATGCATTGCCATCAATGAACAGGCTCAATCAATCTGAGCCTACAACAATTTGGTCGCGTTAAATGCGTTAAATTGACTATGTTGAAGATTACTGTTTATCCTTTTACTCTGAAGTTCATGAATCACGTAAAATAATTTGCTTTGAAACACCGTATCTTTATGCATGAATACATTTGTTTTTTCTTTAAACGATTATTCACTTGTATCGTGATTGTTTCAATAAGTCAAAATACATATAAATATCTAAAGCTTAATGCAGAAGAGTGCATCTTTTTCTTTATTTTTAAAGAGTTATGATCATTGGGTATTAAAATTTAGATACACCAACATGTGATTTATCTACATATTAAATGCTTTGAAAAATAATTGGTATTAAACAACCCCACTGTCATTTCAATCGAAACAGTAACTGATTTCAAAAGAATTATAATTCACAAATTGAAAAAAAACATATTCAAAAGCGTTTTATTACCTGAATCCTAGAACATCTGTTCGTATATATGATTCAGAGTAAGAACTATTTTTCATAACTTTATCCATCTGGAACAAAGATAAAACAACGTATTTTAGGTCAATTGTGATAATAATTAAGGACAATGTATTTAAGGTCACATGGAATAATGATAAAAACAACGTATTCCCTACACTAAATACTAAACACAGTGTACATATATTGGGTGAACAAAATAAAATCAGAGTAAGCAAGAGACTTCCAGTCATGGCTGATTTAAATTTGAGGACCCAGAGTATTATAAAAACGATAAATGAACGTCCCAACTTCATTTTAAAATACATATGCAAATTGAATTAAACGTTAAAAACTTGAATACAAAATTGATTCATTTACATGTTTTTCCAATGAGTGGTGGTAAGCCGAAGATCTTTTTGTGACGATGAATGTAATAAGTATGTTTCATTCTCTTGAAAACCATAATTCATAAGTTAACTCTTAAGTAAACTTTTATTTTGTTGTGACTAACCTCTTACGTTAAATTATTTTCTGCTATAACTAATCTCTAAATTAAATTATATTTTGTTGTATTTAACCTCTGATAAAATTATATTTTCTACAATATTTTGTGGTAACTTACCTCTAAAGTAAAATTATTAGCAGTGGATATATACAATGATGAATTAGGATTGGTCAGTTCATTTGTCCAATTCTCTTTGAGATCAAGCGAGCCCTCTAGCCACAAAATCTCTGAAATTGCAATATATTACTTATATAGAAAAAAAACTACAGTCGTTTTTAAGGCGTTAAAAAGGCAAAAATATTTAATTGAATTGTGCAATGTACGTAGATCGACATATCTTACGTCATTTGCAATTATTTATTAATATAATTTTTTTCTGAAAATGAAAGCTTAGAAAAAGCATTTGTTTTTACTGAACTTACTGTATTAATTCAGTATATAAATATGTATTCGTGAATTGTATGTTACAAAAAAATAATTTGAGATAAATCTTTATATTTTTTCAAATCCTGTTTACCTTGTATATGATTAATAGTATTAAAATCTTCCTTCACTCATTTATGCAAAATTAACGTAAAATTTCTTGCATGCGTCTGCATACACCCTCTAGATTTATTATGTTGTGGTTAAAATGACTAAGAGTGTAACTGCACATATATTCAACAAAAAAAATGAAAACCTTGACACGCAATGATTTGTTGAAATATATTTAGCTGGTTGTGTTTTTGTTTTTGTGGTTGTAGTAGTCTGTTTGACTCCAATATTGTTCAAATAAATCAATTCTTAAAATAAAAACAAAAGAGAAAAAACTCCTCAATGACTCTTTCGGAAGGGGAGAACTAGAAAATCTATTTTACTTACGAGGCTCAACAAGACCCTCATTAGATGTTCCTGGTTTTTTTAATTATCTTCCCAAAAGTTGATTTGACAGTATCAATCTAAATTCTGGATCTTATACATTTTTATTTGTAATCTTAATCTCAATATGACATTTCGTATCTTGATTATAAACTGAATCAGACATCATTTATCTAGTCTCTTCTTTCTATTTTATATCAATATTTTTTTCTTATAAATTTGACTATTTTAATCTAAATATTTAATCTCAAATTTGACATTCTCTATCTACAGTCTTTTTCTAAATTTGTTACATTTGTTTCATAATTCGTGATCCCAGTTTCACATTTGTACTTTATAATTTTAATCTTAATTTGGCATTTTTCATCATTTTTTTCTCAATTTGACATTTTTATATCAAATTGACATTCTAAATTTATATCATTTATCTCAATTTTACATCATTGGGCATTTTTAAACTAAAGATATATGTTTTACGAATGACAAAGGAATATTAAATGGTGACTAGGTTTCAATAAAAATCAAATCAAATTGAGTGAAAACTTGACAGTCCAAAAGAACTTAAGTATAGCAAAATCATAAATCAACTGTTGTAACAATGATTTACTACAGGTGTATTGAAATAGTTACATATTTACTTTACCTGGACGGATTGTCGTAACTTCTTCCGGTTCTGTTGTTAACATGAAATAAATGAATTAAAAAATAAATAGCAACAACTAGTTTCAGTCGATTGAGTCAAATATATAGAGCTGATATTTATCTAAAATTACGTGTTTAATCAAACAAATCTATCTTACGAGTACTTCGTCTTCAATAACAGTAGTGCTCTCATAGACAAAACTTTTGCACGTTCATTTCAAAAGATAATGATTCATTGGATTATGATAAACTTAAATAAATTTTAAAAGAGTTTGTACCTTCTAACCTTTAACAGTTTTTGAACACGAAATTATATAAAGTTCTGACGTATTCTGCCAGAAGCTTGGCATGACCATTTAGTTATCCAATTAAATCAAGTAGCTTAACCACGTGATGTTTGTGGGAGGTAACAGCTTTGCTATACGTCATTGGCAATATATTATTTCGTCAATTAAACAAATCATGATATGCCAATAAAGAAGGTGGTTGAGTAAACATGGAACACACGCAAAGAAACAGCAAGGTAAAACTGTTTTGAATGTCAAGTGTTATTTGTTTAAGAAATAGATTTACATGTCTATCGCGCTGAAGTGTGTCATTGAAGTGAACTTACAGTGTTCCGTTAAAGATTTTGCATCACTAGAAACTGCTTCTGCTTTAACAAAAAAAGTTAAAACAATCAGTTTCTTGGTGGTGGTAAAACTAGTTTAAAACTGAAAGCAAAGACCAATAATAGTCCCACTTCAGGTTTTCCCTTTGTAACATTACAAACCGAAAAGAATGTCATAAAAAACGCACATGTACTTGAACAATATCAGTTTCTGCGAATCATCATTTACTGTGGCGAATCGTTGTGTGTTAATAGGTTATGTAATTAATTATATTGTGGCTCATCATCATTATATTGTTCTGGCACTATTTATTATTTGTTAAAAACTTACAATTAAATAAGATTTCTTACCTCCTACATCGAAGACTGTATATACTAATATCACAGCAAGCCCAACTGCTATTAAAGCGAGTACCAGTAAAGTTATAAACACTATAAAACATATCTTTCTTTTGTTTGTTTGTTTCGGCTTATTGGTAACGTTAGGTTCATTATCATTCCATTTATATTTGTCTTCTGGAAAACTATCCCTTACACCGGGTAAGGTACCCGCCAAAGATGCTGGCTTTGAACCATGCGATCTGTTTGAAAGCGTGTCCGTATTCACTTTACCGTCCGAAATTGCAAACACTTCTGGAAAATCGTCCGTTGAATATCCTTCAAGAAATCTGAAATGTCCATCAATACCGGGATCGCTGCTCTCTGAAACACTTCTTTGTGAACGTTTAAAACTATGGTTGTCATAACCGTTTTGTCGGAAAGAAAACCCCGAGGTTGAAGTTGGTGATGTGGGTGGGGTAATAGACACTTTCCCCTTCTGAAAAAAATACAAAAAAATTAACATTGCTCCTTAAAAGGATATAACCACTTTATAGCCGAGATTTAAGTTTAAACAATGTTGAAAAGGTATTACAAAATCTAGAATAACAAACAATAATGGTATCTAATCT